CCCCCCCCCCCCCCCCCCCCCCACTACTCATCCATCAAGAATGACACCCATCCATCAAGAATGACAGAGGATACAAATAAATTGAAGAGACTTACCCATACGAATGTCCAACCAAAACGTTCCTCTTCTTATGAAAACGATCAAATAAATAGATCAAATCGTATGATAGTTCCGAAAATTCATACTCAGCGGGATTTGTCGGGGCTGAGCTTTGCCCGTGTCCCAACAGATCAGGAGCAACAACTTCGTATCCTGCCTTGCTAAAGTATTGCAGTTGTTCGTACCAAAGATCAGCACTCCCACCGACTCCGTGGATGAAAAATATCACAATAATCCTCTTATAATCTGGATCGCTTATCCCTGAAACGCCAGAAGAAGCAGAATGCACGGAACGATTTGACTGAGTATCTAATCCACTGTCAGATCTTGACAAGCGAGGCTTGTGGTGGACAACTCTTAACCAACGGCCTTTTCGGATTTCGATTTTTTCAGATGTTAGATCTGTCACGGGAACAATCCTGTTTTGATTGTGTCCCCCAAGCGCCCCACACATTGAACACACTTGCAAAACTTCCCTGGAGCTCCAGCTGCGTACTTCTTAGTTCTTCACTTCTTGCTCTGTTCTTAGTTTGTTACCGGTTCACGTCACTTCAGCTTATAAACTGTTGAAATACCTTTCCGCTTCATTGAGCGGTCCAAGGGCAGAAATTTTGAGTCCATTCCTAAAATAAAATATACCTCAAGGTCCTTCAAGGGTCAAATTAATATTGTCCCAGAGAAGAAGGTGTTCCACCACAAGTTTACATATCATTCCATAATTCAGAAGGTGCACAATTATCGGCTTAAAACGGCGTTAATATTCATCAAAGAGGAGAGAAAATGTACATAAGCTTATCCTTCTTGCTAAGTCTACTTTGTTAGCTGAAAATAAAAGGAGAAAATATTGATAAGAAAATTAGTTTTCTGTTCTGGTCGCAAATGCCAGCTGCGTTGCATGCTGAACTTATACGCTGAAGCAGATGCTCCAAAACAGACCTAATGCAAATATGGCGCTCACATCGTCAAATAATTTCACTTAGAATACAAATGAAAAACGTATAGTAAGCTCAACCATAGTTGGTAGAGCTTGACTTACCTATGATATTTTACAGCGTGTATTTCACTTATCCGACGAAAATAGCGGCAGCAAATTACTCTGGGAAAAAAGTCTCACCGGAAGTCGCGTCACTATATTTGTTGCTACGGGAAACGGATCGAACACAAATACTGCAGTGTTATTGTTTTCTTTGGAGTGATCGATGTTTTGTTGTCAATGACAGATAAAAATCGCAAGTAGTTTTCATTTTCGTTTCCGTCAGTCAACGTCAGTAGGTATGTCGGATTAAAGTTCAAGTACTGTGATGATTCGATTTAGCGCCTTTTGAATGTGTTATAATCCAGACGAAGTTTTGTTGAAGGTGCTTGATCTGAAAATGTGTTAAGTATAGTGGGTGACTACATGCTAACAATGAGGTTTTTTAAAACACCCACTACAGACCACGAGACTTACAGACTTACAGACTCACAGATTCTCTTGGACATTTCTTGAGAAGAATGACAAAGATTTGGTCAAGTGCCTTGTACACTTTCCACCAACAGTAACATCCATGTTTTACGTGGTCGCCACGCCTCTGCAGGGGAATGTTTAGGGAAGTGTACCCGATCGGGGTAAAACACATCACGTTTTCACCCTCTCGGATCCTTTTATCAACTAAATAATGTTAGACTGAGCCTCTCGTCAATATTAGACTGAGTCACTAATACACTGGTTCAACCAGCAAACTGCTAAAAGAGCCTTCATCCATATCACTGCATAACCCTCCACCACTTCAACTTCAATGAAATGCTAATTAAGTGATACCAACACTTGATTGATTGCCATCATGTATGACAATTATCTCTTACCTACTTATGGCTACTTTAATTTAAAATTCAGACCTGAGAGACTATCTCAGTTCAAGCACTTTAAAATCCTATCAACACTGTATCAATAACAAAACTCGCCTTGCTTCTTTCCTTTCTTCAGTTACAAACTGTCATGTTCTCCGTCACTATTAACAATACGCCTTTTTTTGTACTTGTTTGTTTAGTAACAGTGAATACTGCTGTTTCGCACTAGAAAAAAAAGTCTCATCAAAGACATTTAGAAAAAAGCTAATTATGACCAATAACAAAAGCAAACAAATTTGTTTGACTGAGACCTCTACCCATATACTCAGCGATATTCCACACCAAAACATCTAATAAGATATATGAACTGAATCATTAAGACTTCAATAACTCCATTAACAAAATAATTCTTAAAAACTGCCCACTGACAGATAAACTGCTTCAATAATATTTTTCCCTGAACTCTTCAACATATTTGTTAAACTGCCAATAAATTGGCATTAAAAGTATCACAGATCATGTTTTTCCCCAAAATAAGTTCTTTCATAGAACCAGAGAAAAAGATAAACATTCTGAAGTCAGTGGGTAAACACCATTTTAATTTGGCTACGAAGGATTCACCAGCAGTGAGGGCAACCAAATAGGTACAACCAGGATTTTCTTTTAAATTAGAGCACTAAGGATTTAAATTAAAAGTAATAAAAATGGCATAACTAGACAAATTAAGTGAGCTAACCTTTCGTACACAGACAGAAACATTGGTTTGATGCATGAAAGCAAAGGTGTTGGTAAGCAGAACACATCGCAAGAACTAACACCCACAAGAGGCACAGGACCTCCACCAGCTATAAGCACCATCTTGGACACCAGACGAGCACGTTCACATGCAATAACTGCACAAAAAGATGACCTGCAAACACATAACCAACAAAATAATGCTGAAGTCTGTTTTAAGCCTCCAATTATTGGTTTTTAAATTGTGCTGGTGCTTAACTTCAGGATGTAGATTTTTGTGAGTGCTTCAACAACTGAGTGGAAGGGATAGAGATTGGTAATATTGTACAGGGGAACAACCAAAGAAGGCAAGACATGGGATAACTTCCAAGGTTTGACCTGAGTGCCTTGGTTGGATGGAATGGCCTGGGTGACTAGAAGCACCAGGGTTGTGAAGGTGGCCAGGGTAGCTGGGATGGCAAGCAGGCGAGGGTGGCCAGAGTGTTAAGGGTGGTAAAGGTGGCCTCTGTGGTGGGGGTGAACAAAGGGGTGGGTACTCCCAGAGAAATTATTAGGTGGGGGTATGCGGCCCGCTTCCCAAAACCCTTACCCTATTTATGACCAAAGTCTGTAATTTTCCCTACCCTATTTATGACCTGACCAAAAATTTAATACCCTATTTATGACCTTTGCAGCTGGCACAGTTGCTCTAAACATAATTTATGAAGAGCTTTTGTTGATAGTCTTATCGATAATGATGAAAAAGTAGCTTTTTCTAAAGAACATACTTAATTCAAGACCAGAGTGCAAAAACCATACCCTACTTCTGACCAAAATGGCCAAAATTGATACCCTATTTATGACCAAAACAGCTGAAAAACCATACCCTTAGGGACCGCACATACCTATATAGCCCATATATGGGAGTACCGCCCCCCTGGGGGAGGGCAGTGAACAGGATAGAAAGGGTGGCTTGAGGGTGGTGAGGATAGCCAAAGTGGCAAGGATGGTCGAGGTGACTTGGGTGTTAAGTCTGACTAGGGTGTTAAATCTGACTGGGGTGTAAAGGTGGCGAGTGTCGCAAAGGGTATCCAGTGTGGCAAATTGGCTGAGATTCCAGTACATGAACTTGGTACACTACTATGCACAAGGCCATTTCTGATTTACCTTGAATCTCTGTTTCAAAACGAGTCCTAGTGCAAAACCCTTCTTAGAGGGTCATACAGGGGTATTCTCGTGATGCGCGATTCACTGATTTTATTTTCCATGAAACATGAATTTAAGAAATCATTCTTTGTGACTCATGGCCTGAAGGTTCTGCGTGACCCATGAAGAAACTGATTAAGAGATATTCATAATTTTACGGCTCTATTCTATATGATTTTGAGACGCAAGTCCTCTGAATGGTTAGAGTAGTCTATCGAGACTGTCTTAGGTATGCAATTTGCAATATGGAGCCTTGACTTAGCCAGTCAAAATTTTACTTTCTTCAAACACTCTTTCTAGTGTAAGAACACCTCATTATAGAGTATCTTAGTTGCTTATTTTTGTGATTTGGGAAAACAAAATTTTTATATCCGTGAACCACGATCCTCTATTTTTTCTTTTTGTGAAAACCTGTCCTACTCCACCCTGCACTCCTCCCTCCCTCTGCCTCCCC